TCGTGACAGCTGTGCAGGTGAAAATTCATAAATGAGACCACCTCTAAAAGGAAGCTGTGAAATCAACACACAGCGGGTCAGAAGAGATTTGCAAAGACACTTTAAAGAAACGGTGCCTTGAGAAGTCAGAGGCCTCCTTGAGAATGGCTTAAGGAAAGTACTGTCAGAAGGGGGTTGTTAGCAGTGAAGTTGGGAAAACAGCCTACTGGAGGTGTGACTTGGAGGCAGAGCATCGGGCTGCACTGGTCGGATGCCATTCCCCGTTGGCGCTGCAGACCAGCTTTACCAGTGGGGATTGCCGTGCTTTCCAAGCGCAAGCCCTTAGGAAGGTAGAGGTGGGCAGGTAGGGAGGAGGGAAGATTTAGGAAGGAAGAGGAGCTTCAAGAAGGCAGCCTTTGTCTTCCAACCAGAGCTGCTGAGGCTCCAGACCATCCTCTCCCGTGCCCCACGGTGGCTATTTGGGTCCTTACCACTTCCTGTCCCCCTCCTGTCATCTCACACGTATTCAGGCAGCTTTGCATCCTGGGCTTCGGTTATTCCTGCTGTTGAGATCACTCACACTCCGTGGTGCCAGCATCCACCGTTTGACTTGCTCATATGCTAGTGGGTTAGAAATGGGGAGCATCTGCCAAGGGATCTGTCCTGTGGCCTGGCCTGGGGGTGGACAGCTGCGGTCCCCCAGGGCTTTGTGGGTGTCCCATCTAAGAAGACTGGAAGTTGGCCGGAGGCCTCATGGGGATACTGCAGGGACAGTCCCAAGGTGACAGCGGCTGCACCCCAAGCACGGCATGAACTGGAGAGGCACGTGCACCTCTGACATGGCTTTGGATAACCATGTCAATGGCGCATAAGAATGGTGCAGCATTTTCACACCTGCTGTGTTCTGTTTGTTCCAGGCCTGTCGCCAGAGCTCGTGCAGATTTGCTGGGGTCCTCCCTCTCAATGGCTGGTGTCAAAAGAACCTGTGGACATGGTCATAGCCACCCCAGACGTTCACTCCCTACCAATCCCCTGGTAGTCTCCCCAGACTTCCCCCATGTGAATGTACTGAAGAACTGACACCCACCCTCTGGTTTTAAAATGTTTAGAATTTGTAATAATTTTATAGATACGTATTTTCTAGAGAGTGATGTAACATCCATAACAATCTAAAACAGATTTTCTAGGAAGTTACCGTGAAATCTACAAAAGCAATAAAACATTTCATCCCAGGTGCTGAGCTGTGAGGAGAGTATCAGGGTTTAGGCTCTGCTGCCTTTCCCCGAAGAACTCACTTGGGAAGCAGTCAGGTACGTGGCATCCTGGGGCCTGGCTGACCTCAAGCTTATCTGGTACTGTTAGTTTCAGCAGCATTTCTTCTTTAGCGAGGCTGTTGGAAGATAAAAGGGGAAGGAGGAATTTCTGGGCCTTGGTGGCTGTGAGGACCTGCAAGTGATGCTGAATGCGATCTTCCAGCTGGCCTGGGGCCCTGGTGGAGACTGAATATGGAACGAGAGGCAGGTTTTGTGGGTAGACAATGGCGTCCATGAGAACTACTGAGTAGATAGGAAGAAAGATGGGTCTGAAGCTTAGGAGAGAAGTGGGGATGGAGGCATGCATTCTGGAATCGTAGACAACAGCAGACATACTTGTTCAGCAGGAGGAATACGCAGGTGGTTCATCTCTCGTCATCAGTCATCATTGGACTTTGCTTTTGGCATAGGGCATCGTTTCTTTCTCCACTGTCTCGTGATGGTGGCTTTTTACATTTTATATTTGGGGAAACTAAGATTCACAGTCAGGTTGCTGCTCAGTGAACCATTAAACATTATTGTGCATAGGCACTAATGTGGGCATTTTAATTGTCACGTATCTTTAAATATTTTCTATTTTTCAGATTAGAAGATAATTCTGAAACAAATGCCTGCCACTCTTTAATTACAAAAATGACGAATGATCTGTATCACCATATATGCCTGAGAATCATTGTGTTTTAAAGGACTTGGATCGTCTTCCTACTGAGATGTAAGTTCCAGGATATCCTGACAACTGTTGAAACATTGAGTCTGCAGATTAGCATAGCAAACTTAGACATTTTCTATGTTTTCAATTTTATAAACTTGGTAGTAGTCTTAGAATCCCACTGTTACTGCTCCAAGAGGAATTATGAGATCAGTTTTGACTATCTCTGTGCAAGCTTGGCACATCTGACGAGGCTGTGAATGTCGCATTCTGTTTGCCACAATTCAGTGTATTTAGTTAACACTTGCCGCATGTCACGGTTGTCCCTGCAGACCCACCAGTGATACGCAGCTAGCCCTGGCTCCCAGAAAGCCGCAGTCTTGCAGGTGCAGAAGGAGAGTGAGGTACAGATGAGGATCATGATGCTGCTCCAAGTCTGGCTCTGTTTGTGGGTGGCCCCAGCTGCTCCGTGAGCTCTGCAGCACACCCGGTTCCTACCTGTTCTGCCCCAGGATTGTGGCTGGAAGGGGCTAGGTTTTGCTCGAAGCACTGGCAAGCAGTGGGCACCGAGTGTTCTGACCGGTCCACCGTTGAGGTCAGAACTGAGACGCAGCAAGGTGGGGTGGAGGAGACACTTGCGTCTCGCCAGCGGGCAGAACTGTACCTGGTATTGTGGAGTGGGTTGCGGGCTCACTTTCCTGTTTTGGGAGGGGGGCCCACTGTGGGGCGGAAGGTTGTCACAGAGCAGTTCTAGTCCCCCACTTTCGACACACACAGTTAGGCCCTCCTTGAACCCATTGACAGGTGTGATTTACACTTGGAGTTCACAATTGAATAGTGTGAACCCAAGTTTACCTGAGACAGGGTCTCATCCATTTAGAATTACTTTTCCCAGGGGTTAGGACTGCTGTGAAGCTCAGGAGGGTCCTGACGTCTGCCCCAGGTACTTGGGGCCGCAGCTTGCTGTTTATACATTTTAAAGGAGACTAAGACATCAGGTCAGTAGGTGTATAGGTGTAATGGTTCCATTCTGGAAGAGGTGGGGAAACACAAAAGTGGGGCTCCAGGTACTAAGGTGGACAAGAGACAAAGGATTGCTTGTTTGAGCTTTGCTGGAGCTTTAGTGAATACACAATTGACTGTGAGGTTTGTGAGTAGAGGAACTTGTATAACACCTTAGTGTGGTTCAGGTTGAAGCTGGCTTTTTACACAGGGCAGAGGAAAGCGAATTCCACATGGTTATTTCCAGGTGAGCTGAGGGATGACGCCTGTCCCACCCCTGGAGGGATCAGCTGGACTTGCATTGCCAGGGTGAAAATTGAGCAGAAGTCTTTTCGGTAGAGATCTTGAGGCCACGAGGAATTTCCTTGTGGACAACTGTGAGGGAGGGTCTGTATGTAGTTTTTCTCTTTGTAGCCACCTGTATTTAGGGAATTAAAAGGGAGGGCAGGTTGCCGACGGCAGTTCCAGCGTTGACTTTTTCCTTTGCTTAAGTGAGTTTGGGTCCTGAGTTTATGTTTTCTGCCCGTGGAACAAAAGTTAAGTTCCACGCGTGTTCTGGTCATAAAAATATTACCAACTTCTAAAGAAGACCAAAACACTTACAATGCTAAACATTGAATGGTACATATGAGCTCTATGGACATTTAAGAAGATGAATTAAAACAAGTGAGAACTATACTCGCAGGTTTGCGAGGCAGAGTGACGGCAGGTCCGGCAGGGTCCAGTGGTGTTAAGTGAGGCAATAAATGTTTGCGGAGCGAGACCTTCCCAGGCCGCCCCCTTCCCCACCCCCCAGCTCGCAGCCACCACAGGGACCAACGTGTGGGTAGTGAGCACTTTTTGTACGTGGACGCACTGTCGGCACTGTATGTATTGTTGGTAGACTTTACAAGGTTCTGTATAATTTGTATTCAATTCTCATTCAGTTCTTTTCAACCTGTATTCCGTTCAGAGTTGGTGGGGCTGGAGCTTCCCGGCAGCTCCGGGTACAAGGCAGGACCCACCCTGGACAGGACGCGGTTCCGTCGCAGGGCCAGTCACACACCCACGATCACTCTGGGACCATGGAGATGCGCCAGTTCACCTAATGTGCACAGCTCTGGGATGTGGGAGGAAACTGGGGGACAGGAGAAAACCCATGCAGAACGTGCTTCTCCACACAGACCGTGGCCCTCGCGGGATATCGATTTATTTTCTCACTGATGCTGTGACGAAACAGTGTTGAATGAAATGATGTTATCTGAGGACTGCGAGGACTCCCCATGCTGATTTTCATAGAAAGTTATAGTACATACTATTTTAAATAGTGTTTGTAATTTGGGCATACGGAAATGTGGGTTCTATCTACCTAAATGAATATTTGGATTTAAAGTATAACAGCAGATTAACTTGATTTGGATTTAAAATATAACAACAGATTAAGTTAATAGCAGATTAACAGCATTATGGTTTCTTCACTTACAGTGTATATTTTAGAATGTGCTACAGCCTTTAAAAATGACCATTTTGGATACGTTTCTAGAACTTTTGGGTTGAGTGGTATCTGTGTTTTTAAAGCTTTAAATAGATATCGCTGGATTCCCCTCCAGAAAGGTGCTACTCAATTTACACTCTTACCAGTAGTTTATAAGGCAAGGTCATTCTCTTATTACCACTCTCCAAAACCAGAATATTTTTAAATGTCTCAACTAGTTTCTTGGGAAAAATAAGATCTTAATTTAGTTGAGATTTCTTTAATCTGGTGGCATTGAACCCGCTTTCATATTGAGGCCATTTGCTTTCCTCTGGTGAGAGTTCCTCCCTAGATGTCAGAGGGCAGGGAGCAGGGGGGCTGCTGGGCGCAGACTGGGCCTGCCTGGTGCCCCATGAGCATGCAGAGCCCCTGGCAGCCCTGACATAGACCGGACACCTCAGATGATGACTGAGAGCAAGGAATGTGGATGTGCAGGATGGGCCGGGAGCAAGGGCTA